GCTTCTACTTGCTGTGTTTTCTAACTCACAGCAGGAGCTCAATAAATATAGACTGAATCGAGGAACATCGTCTTGGAATGAGCATTACTGACATCTAGTGGTCAAACCAAATACAAACTAAAAAGTGAACTGCACTTTTATTTTACTTTGATTATTGAATACCAATAAATTCTATGCCAAGTAAAAATAATGCCCATTTCAATAATAGTTTGGACCTATTGTTAAACACATTGTTGCTCTAGCCAAGTACATTATTTCACTAAATTATGAGAAAAATCACCTGGAAGTGTGTCGTCATTTTTCTCACTCTTGTGAACCTGCAAGGAGGAACATAAGTTTACAAGTGGTCAAGAAATATTTTATGAGCTACTTAACTACAAGAAAAGTATTTAAAGTTAAGTTGCCTGATGCTTAAGAGAAAGTTGGTCTGGGTATGTAGCTGAGAGATAGAGTACTTGCCTAGCATACACAAAGCCCTAGGTTTGATGCCTCGTACTGAAAAAAAATTAATTATAGTTAAAACCAGTGTTTATTTATCAATCGGTTTCTTACAAATAGTTGTTGAGCATTTTCTAGGCATCATCTTATATCACAACAATCCTACAAGTTGGTATAATTTTTTCTCATTTTCTATGTGAAAAAGCTAAGGCATAGAATGGCACATTAATTTAACCCAAATCACAGAGCAAATGGGTGGATCAAAAGCCATGTCGTTAATCTATACATTAAACATGTTTCCCTTTCATAACTACATTTTATTTTCTATTAATAATACATAGTTTAGACATATTAAATGCTCACAGAATCATATGGTGTAATTCTTATAACAGATGGAGCGCAAGGCTAACAAATTTGAGAATCATGTCTCTGCCTCTAATGTGTGTATATCACTGAGCTGACTTTGAAATGTTGGGCTTTTCCTACAGTGCTCTGGGCATAGAAGTCTTCACTGCCTCTCTGCCAAAAGTAACTATTCACACAGCACCATGGTGAGATTTAAGGTGTCAGTGTGAGGCCAGTGTGCGTCTGCTGACTAGACTCTTGGGGCCTGTGCAGTGAGTGAGGGTACTCACTGGAGGATGCACAGACAGCATGACAAGAAAACAGAACTCTATCCTTAGGGAAATTTTCTCTTCCTTATCCCAGGTCAGGCAACACAGCGTGCTGTAGGTGGGTCTTCCTAGGGGACTAGCGTTCTTGTATAATTCCTTAGCCCTGGCTATAAAGAATTCAGTCACATGCTGGCTGCAGTCTGCAGCATCCAGTCCTTCCCAAACAGTTTCTCCGATGCTGAGCAGAGGTAGGTGAGTGAGCCCTCATTTTGCTGAAAGACCCTAATGACAGTAATGAAAATGATTTGTGTGTGGATGAAGCTCCAATAACCTAGAGTCTCTGAAAGTAGGGCCATAACCAAGGGACACGGGGCCGAGGAGAGAGTAGTGTTGGGATAACCTGGAATCATTGCTGCAAACCAGACACTAACACAAAAGCACACAGCAAACACCCACAGTCATGAGTAGACAAAAAAAAAATTCAGCAAATTCAGAAAACTCTACATAGACACAAAAATATGAACAAATAATGTTATACACAAATATAAGGGAAAATAATCGTGGCAACTCATCTGTTGACATAAATGAGGCCTTTCTCCACCCTAAATTTTTCCATTTATCATCACAGAGAAGTTCTATGTACAGTCATCCTAGCAGAAGAGGTTGCAATACTTCTGAAAATGGGGAGCAGATGAGTTAAGAGATGGGAAACCTAGAAACCTGAGTAGAGAAGTCATTGAAAATTCTGCCTCAAAAGATAGCACCCAGTCTCTGGGAGAAGCTTTATCATAGATGAGCTGAGAACCGAGTGTCTGAAAGAGAAGCGAGGGCATCAGAAAGAGAAAGGAAGAGAAATCCTCAGAGAGTTATGGTGGAGAAGATGCTAGATAATATACATAAAAGTGCTAATTAAACAGAAGATAAATTTTAAGTCCCTAACAAAGTGAAAATTGTTGCCTCAATAGTGGTCACAGTGATGGTACTGGCTTGCAGGAGAAGCAGCTACACAATAGACAATAATCTTTTCTGATGACAATAAGCTCACTAACCAGGGACATCCTGAATTTGTAACATATTTAGAATAACAAAGGACCTTTTAGAAAATTTTCTACAGAGCATATTAAAAACATAGAAGGATTACAATCACAGCCGAAGCCTTGTTTGAGGCTAGGAAGTGAAATATTGCCATTACTAGAATCTAAGCCCCATGAAATTGAGGGCTTTGACTCAGTGGCTTCTGTGTCCCTACATTTGGAACAATACCTGCCAAATAGTGAGCACTGTATAAATCCTAGTCAAAAGAACTAAGGGATCAATAACCTAGAATTTCTATAGTGGATAAGGACAGAATGGTAATCACGGTAAGTCTTCAGACAATTTTCAACATAGAACATGAAAATTTTAAGTCACTAGGAGCAGTTAGGACATGTAACAATCTATAAGATTTTAGGATTCTGACACATGAGTTTATATTGTGTATTGCTAGAATAATATAATAAATCCATCCAGGCGAAATAACATGCCCCCTCATCACTCATCCTAAGTGCCTCCATGAGAAGTCAATAGAGGATTTCTCAAATCAAATCCTCTCCCTTTCTCTTAGGATACAAATCATTGCATCTCATTCTCATTTTGTTAATGTGATTATATGGGTCCCTCAAACATTTTTCAAAAAGGAAACTATCTGAAAGGAATGAATTAGGAAAGATGTTAAGCTAAAATGTGTGCTGTTGACTAAGCAGTTGTGAAGAGGAAGAAAAATTGATGAGAGTTATTTCTGAGGATTAGCTCTGGTAGTTTTAAAATTGACCTGCTCAAATCAGTCCCCATCACTAGCAGTATTGTACAGGATAATATCATCTTCAATCTGGATATCAGTGATAACCTTCCAACCAGTCAGCTACAAATGTGCTTGGTGCCTTTAATGTGCCTTTGACAATGCAGCCAGAGTGACATTTTTGAATTGCAGTTTAGATCCTGTTACCTTGAAGCTTAAAATCCTACAGTCTCTTCCATTATTTCTAAGATAAAAATAAAGCTCCTTAAAATTAATCACAAGGATATTGTCTTTTCCTGCCCATCTCTCATCTCATCTACCCTGTGCTCTTTTTTTTACAGTCTGGTCACACTGACCTTTAGCTCCCTCATATTTGCCATGCCATTTCCCACCATTCTGTCTTTACACATCCTGTTCTACTAACTAGAAATGTTCTTTCTTCCCAACTCCCTCTTCCCTTTATAGATTCTCATCATTGAGCTATCAATTAGCTAATACTGCCTAAAAAATTCATTCCTAGTATACCTTGCTCTTAGGGTGCAGTATCTCTTCTTTGTAGCCCAGTTTATACTTTACACTTACTATGTATATAATAGCACCAGGCAGCCTCATTTATCACCTCTGCAAATGGGGACAGAAGAAAAAAAGACTGGAATAATACAACTCAGGAAATTGCCAAATCATAAAGTAGCTTCCCTTCTTCAGCAGAATCGTAACACATATTTGCTATACTTGATCTTAGCCAAAAGGCTGAGAAGCAATGTCATGACATATTTGAAAGCAAATCTACAGTATAGTATTGGACAAAATTGATCACAATATGGTCATGTGCTAATTCAAATGACATCTACCACTATATACTTCCAAAGCACTTCTTGATGCTTTCATTAGAGCCAAGTGACAGAGATATTTTTGTTTAAAATTGGTATCACCATATTAAAACTTATTACATCATGGGAGTATCAAGACAACATGATACATGGCACCTCTTTAGAGATTTCACCACCTTGACCCAACAAACCTTGTCAGTATCTGTATCCCACCTATGGCCCAGAGCCTGTGCAGAATACACCCTGTAAGTTTTTAATTGTGTCCTGGTCTTGTCTGCACACACCCAAGCACCCCACTGTCTTACAGATTGCATCACTGCCACAGGGGTAGTTACAAATCAAACTAGAACCCAAGTCACCAAACAGATTCAATTGCTAAAATAAAAAGGCTTACAGCCAGTTTAGACATACTATTGTCCATCATCATATCAGAGAAATTATGGCATTAATACAAACGAGACTGTTCTCAAGTCGAGGCAAGTGTCTGGCCTTGGTACTAGCTTTAAAAAAATATAGAGACATTGACTTTGCCACATTCTAGGTAGCATGGAGTGATTGTCTGTATACAATAATGAAGCATGAAGAAGGTAGGGAAGATCACAAATCACAAAAGGCTCTGAAAATATATGGAGCCATGAAGTGTTTTCTTTTCAGGTAAGGAACGTAATATGGTGGGTGGTGGGATTTTCCAGTTCTAAGATGTAGGACTATTTCTCTTAAATTATGTAACTGTCTCCAATTGTGTCTAAATTTCTTAATTTCATCCCATAGCTCAGATCCAAGTGCTAGATATCCAATCTTCCACCTTTACTAAATTCCCTCTCACATAGCATTACCTTAGGTTCTCAGGTCTACTTTGCAAGAATGTGTCATTCCCTCCAACCACAAGACTGATTGAATTATCATCTCCACCTCTATTCCAGTCCAGTAATGTTTTATACACATGCATGCATGCACATGTGCACACACACACACACACACACACTCACAGAGCTGTTATCCCTTACTAATTAGCAAGTGTGATTAACAGTAAATATTTTGCAAATTTATTCCTCCTTATAGACTGAAAGGACAAAAGACACGAGCTGTTTGGGGTTGTTGTATTTAGAAATTTTCTACATAAGTTTCTATAAACGAGAACCAGATATTTCAATGCAAAAGTGTCTGTTTAAATCCACCTCATATTTTCTCACTAGGTTTCCTCTGCTGTATTATGGAATTAAAGAATGGACTTTCTGTTTCTGCAAGAAATAGGCAACATACTATGAAAGAAGTTAAAGTCTCTCACTGGAAGCAAGAAAAATGGTCCAAGAAATGTGTTTATAACCAATTCCCACCAATATGCTTCACACCAACAATACACAATTCCAGCCTTCTTCCTTCTTTCTGACAGGAATCCCAGGGCTGGAACACGCACACATCTGGATTGGCTTCCCCTTCTTCGCAGTGTATTTAGTAGCCCTCGTGGGGAACGTCATTATCTTGTTTGTGATCCAGACTGAACACAGCCTCCACCAACCCATGTTTTACTTCCTGATGATGTTGGCCTGCACTGATCTGGGCTTGTCCACAGCAACCATCCCCAAGATGCTGGGCATTTTCTGGTTCAAGCTCAGGGAGATTGTGTTTGGTGCCTGCATCACACAGATGTACGCCATCCATATATGCACTGGCCTGGAGTCTGTGGTGCTGACGGTCATGGCCATAGATCGCTATATTGCCATCTGCAAACCCCTGAGATACAGCATGATCCTCACCAACAAGGTGATAGCCATTCTGGGCATAGTCATCATAGTCAGGACTTTGGTGTTTGTGACTCCATTCATATTTCTCATTCTGAGATTGCCTTTCTGTGGCGTTCGAATTATCCCCCACACCTATTGTGAACACATGGGTTTGGCAAAGCTAGCTTGTGGCAGTATTAGGGTCAATGTCATCTATGGCTTAATTGCCTTTTCAGTGGGCTACATTGACCTCTCTGTGATTGGATTTTCTTATGTCCAAATTCTCCGAGCAGTCTTCCATCTCCCATCCTGGGATGCCAGGCTCAAGGCCCTTAGCACATGTGGCTCACATGTCTGCATCATGCTGGCTTTCTACCTGCCAGCTCTCTTTTCCTTCATGACACACCGCTTTGGCCACAACATTCCTCATTATATCCACATACTTTTGGCCAATCTGTATGTTGCTGTTCCTCCTGCCCTTAATCCCATTATCTATGGGATAAGGACAAAACAGATAAGAGACAGAGTGCTAAGGATTCTAAAGCTATTGACATTTAGCCCCAAGAAGATCTTCTACAACAGTTCAGTAAGGCAATCATGAGACCAGACTGGAAGTAAACACTGAAAACATACTGGTTAAGCATCCACAATAGATCAATAATACATCTGTGATCAGAAAAGAACTCTGAAAATTTCTCTGATAAACTTCTCAGGCACCCTCACACAAGGCAATCATATTGCATATCCCTCTATGGCTCATAATTCCAGAACTTCCCATTGGAAGGCATAGCACAAAGATTTCAAAATAATCTCTCTTTTCTGACCCATGAAAAGTACCCCCAAAAATCCACATTCAAACCCCACTAACACTACAAAATTCCTACAGGTTTTACAAAAGCTTGTTGCCCAATGGCTACCTTGAATAACTTGCTTCAACAGAGAGATTCTCTCCTTTAACATGTTAGCAACTGAGGTTTATGACTATAAAATGATGTGGGATTTCATGAAAACCAAGCAGCATGTAGTGGCAAAAGAAATGGATGAGAACTCATAAAATGTACATTTCAATTCAGGCTCTGCTTTTACCGCAAGTTTGACCTGAGAATTACATTTAAACTCTTGGATCTTCAATATTCCTGCCCATAAAATGGAATAAAGCAACATTAATTTGGTACTTTAAACTCAAAAAGAATGGTGAAAGTCTTTGCCACTTGTAAAACATTAAAAGATTTTGAAATATGTACAATACTTATGAAATGCAATGTGGTTATTCCTTCTAGTGGACATCAACTTTGCTTTCTAAATGCAACTAGTGCACAGTGGTTTGAAATGAGTTCACCAGCTCCAGAGGACCCCCATGCGTGGGGCTCTTTATGGTCTGTTCACCCCTTACTATGAGCAGAGGGACTCCCAGTCAGGAGGCTGCAAACCCTGCAGAGTTCAGGGAGGTCTCTCTGGCTTGAGGACTGAGGGAAACTCTAGGCCCCACGGTGTTTACCAAGATGCACTTTAGGGGAGATTGTAATAGTGACCGCTGAAATAGCACAATTCAATAGGAGACTACAATAGTACAAAATCATTCTCACCAAAGTGTGGAAAGTAAATAAGACCATTGATTGATTTGGATATTCTAGGAACTGCAAAAATGTGAAACTGACTTCTAATTGGAAATGAGACTGTTTGAAACCGAAGGTAGGTTGAGCAGGAAGATGAAGAAAACATGGCTAAGGTCATAGCAGTGTAAAATGAGACAGGAGAAAGTAAAATTTGAAGAAATGAGACATTATATGAATAGTAAAGCAAAGATGACCAAGTGATCATTTTGTAAACAGAAATTTTGAGCATAACACAAAGATTTAAAAACCAAACAATTAACAACAAATGGAGAAAAAAAGACTCATTAAAGATTATCTTTTAAATAAACTGCCAGGCCAAGATAGATTTTCTTAAATTTCATATACTATAGTAACTCTTCTACAAAACTAAAGAATTTGAAATATTAAAATCAGTTTAGGAAACTATATTATCTTAATGGCAAAATCATAAAATGTAAGAGAAAGAATATACAGAAGAAAAATTCAGAAGAAAAAACAGGTTAAATCCACATGCAAATGTAAACACAAATTATAAATAAATTTGACAAATCAATTTGGTCATATACTTTTCAAATTAATTATCTTAAAATATTTTTATTTTTAATTGCCATGTTATAATTCTACATATTTATGGAGTACAACATAATATTTTAATACATATATATATATATAAAATGTATGATGATAAGATCAGTGTAATTGGTACATCCACTACCTCAAACATTTATTATTTCTTTATGGTAGAAACATTCAAACTCCTCTCTACAAGCTATTTTAATACATACAATTAAGTGTTACAAACTATAGTTACTTTTCTATGCTATAGAATATTAGAACTTATTTCTTCTCTCCAATTGCTCCCTTGTACTTTTAATTATCCTCTCTCCACCTGGCTCTATCTCCTGCTTCCCCAAGCCTCACTTATCACTATTCTACTCTCTAACTTCCATTAGATAAACCCATCTTTCACACATAAATGAGAATATGTGGTATTTATCTTTCTGTGCCTTATTTACTTCACTTAACATAATGCCTTCCAATTCCATTTATATTCTGCAAAACAAGTTTTTATTACTTTTTAGGGTGAATAATATTCCATACACCACACTTTTTTTTTAATCCGTATTTTTTCATCAGTGAACACTTGATCTCTGACATATCTAGGGTATGCTATAATGAACAGGGGAGTGCCAATGTCTCTTCAACATACTGATTTCTTTTCCTTTGGTTATACCTAAAAGTGAAATTCCTGGACCATATGGTATTTCTATTTCTACTTTTTTTAGGAATTCCCATATTATATTCTATAATGGCAGTACAGTGGACCCTTGACTTATGAACTCATTTCACTCATAAGGGCTAGTTGTAACTCTAGTTGGTAAATTGAAGGCTTAAACTCCTGTATGTAGCCTTTGAACTGTCTCCTGTACAATTTCAGGCAACACTTTCTTCTAGGCAGATCTCAGTGACCTTAGAGAGACACCAGCCCAAGATTTCTCAATTAACCCCACATAGGAAAGGATGTTGTAATGTTCCTTCCAGAATTCTTTAAGGGTTAAATCTGTATCTGAGACCATCTGGAAGCACAGGTGGCCAGTATTTGGGTCACAACTCAAGACTTTGGTCATAAGTTAAAACTAAAATTCTGGTCGTAACCCAAGTTGTTCATATTTCAGGCCAGTTGTAACTCAAGGGTCCACTGTACTAATTTACATGCTCACCAACTGTATATGACAATTTCGCTTTATCCATATCCTTGCCTGCATTTGTTATTTTGTGCTTTGTTATTAATAGTCATTCTAATTGAGATGAGATGATATTTCATTGTTATTTTTATTTGTATAAATATTAACTATTTTAAATTAAATATATTTAACTATCAAGCCAAATGAAAATAGCTGGACAGATTTTGGGATGTTTGACTTAAAATGTTAGCTAAAATTACTTTGAAGATGATGAAAGAGTCATTTCCAAGAGACAGACAATAGTCCCTGATAAATGGGCCAGTGTTATAATCAGAGGCCCAGAGACAACTATGTCTATTAAACTGTCGCAAGTAAAAAAAATTTTCTTTAAAAAAAAAAGTACAGAACCAACTATTACATGTATAAGTGCTCAAAGAGTGGGAACTCTGAGTGAGGTTGCTAACCTGGATAATTTTTACATAACAGGCTCCAGAGTGAGTAGGAGACAACATTTCATCATACTTTTCATTTATGTTTCCCCTTAAAAATGTTGGGAGGGCAATTTTATCATAATATTAAAATAGCAACAGCACTGTAAGAACCACTAAGTGTGTTCCTAACATGATCACATTTATTCCTCATGATGAATATATGAATTAGCATTGAAAGGCTATGGGTTGAATAGGTGGTATCCTCACTCTGAAACCAGCCTGCTGCTCTGCAGCTTCCTTCCAAGAGAATTAGCGTCCATAGCATGAGCCCAGAGGTTCCTTTAAAACAAGCTGGGTGAGGGATTTGTGGTCAAGAATCCCAAAGCTCATGCTTCCTCCTGCTTCTGCTGCAGCTGAGGGATGAGGAGTAGAACTCACACTGGGCTTCTGCCCCACTTCACTTTTATGTTCTTTTGCCTTCTCTTTTACACTTTTATGATTCTCTTTGTTCTAGTCTTTTCATTTCTTCCATTTTTTCTTTCATTTTTCCATTTCCTTGGTTTTCTCATGTTCATTTAAAAAAAAAAAAGTTACTCAGGGTGAAATTTCTAGGATCTCAAAGTTCTCCTTGTGATATCTGCTGCAGCTAGAATGTCCAAGATGGCCATAAATAGAAATTCATGTGTCTGGTTCTGGGTTGAGATGGCTCCAATTTCTGGACACAGGCATCTCTGACTGAACACAGGCATCTCTCTGTGAAGTTTCTCCATTTGGCTAGTGTGGACTTCTTCATAGAAGACCTGTCTCTGCGAGGTTAAACATACCCCTGAACAACTTATCTAAGAGATATAGGTAGAACCTGGGAGGCTTCTTAGGAGATTGTCTCAGAATTCAAGAAATGTGACTTCCAATATACCTGTTGTCAAAAATGAATCCAAGAATCATTCCAGATCCAAGATAAGTTTACACAAAAAATTGACTCCTTTCTGGAATGCTACACTGGGGATCATCTTTTAGGAGAAGATACAAAAAAGCCTGATTATAGGTGAAATTAAAGGTGAAAATTTCCCATAGAGTTCAATTTCCAGTCAAGATGGAGTAAAAGGGGCTGAATTCATCATTCTAACTAAACCAAATAAAACAATCAAAGCTGAATGAAATATATTAAACAATGGGTTTTAAGACGTCAAACATCAGGCAAGTTAGAACAGGGACTCCTGAGAAATGGGGGGGGGGGGGGATGAGGTAAGAGCTACAATTAATTAACCCATTTTGCTACCTTGGAAGAGTTCCCAGGCTGCAATGAAGGGATGAGAGATGGACCCCAGGTGGACCTCAGTGGAGTCCCTGAATTGAGGATGTGTAGTTGGAAGGACAGAAAGACTAAAGCAGCTACACCTGGCAGGACAGAGTTCTGGAGGGAATAAAGAGGTGCACACAGATCCTGGAGGTCTAAAGAGGCTCTTCCTCAAGAGTGTATGCAAGTGAAGAAAATATTTGGGGTAGAGAGAGGTAAGAAGGTATCCTAAGGATTAAAGAGAATAGTATTCAGCACTCATACAAGGACTGAGAATATAGCTTTTCCCACTTCCAGAAAGGGAAGCAACATAATTCATAGGGCATTTAGTAGAATGCTCAACAGAATCATCCCTCAGAAGTGGATCAAAATTAATCATAGACTAACAGTTGTTCTGGTTCCTCCTAACAAATATAAAAAAACAAACTCCAAAAGGGTCAAATTGTTTACAAGTAACTTAATTGGATCCTAGAACACAGCTTTGAAAAATTTGCAAAAATTAAACTATATAACGTCGAGCACACAATAAAGCAAAATCCAAACTGATAACCAATAAAAATACTAGAAATGGAAATAAGTAGAAAAATTCAATG